TCTACTTTCACCCTATAGGGCAACCAGAACAGATCTGGACACAAAAGGAAGCTGATACTTTGCTCTTGACAGTATATTTCCCTTTACATTTAAGATGTGCTATGTTATTTTCTCCCTTTTTTCTTTTATTCTAAAAGCTTAAAAGGGTAGACATATTTTTATAGTTTTTTATAATAACCTTTGGAAACATAATTCACATATACAATTCACCCATTTGAAGTATACGCTTCAGTGGTTTTCGTATATTCACAGTGTGTAACCAGCACCAAGTTTAGAACATTTTTGTTGCTCCACAAAGGAATTTCATATCTATTAGCAGCCACTCGCTATTTTTCCCCACCTTCCACAGCCCCAGGTAACCACTAAATCTATTTTCTGTCCAAAGATTCACCTATTCTGGACATTTCTTGTAAATGGAATCACACAGTATATAGTTTTTTTTTTTTATTTCTTACAGTTTTGTCAACAGAAATACCTGAGGGGTTTGAGTTAGCAGGTGGTTTTCCAGGTTGACGTGGGTATTTGGGGAGGTAGGTTATTGTCTGCCCAGGAGAATGAGGCAGGTTGGTTTTGAAATGGGGTGGTGCAGCAGGTTCCTGGGATAGAGCCAGGCAGCAAAGACACTTTGAATTAGACGTCTTTTCTGCAGTGCAAGAGCACTGTGTAAAGTGAGGCTACACCTGCACCGCTTGGACCATTTGGCAGGTCTGCACAGTCACTGAGCAGCATGCGGAGGGATCATCTTGGTCAGCACTATTTCAACCAGAATACATTTATGGCTTTGTAAGGGAAGTGTTTGGGGGAAAAAGAATAGTTATTTTACAAAGCTGACTGTCTATTTTGTTGCGTAAAGTATTTTTTCTTGAGTTAATTTTCCTATATCTTTGCCCCAAAACACAGATCAGAATGCTTTCATGAATTCTTGCCAGCTGGGCTTCACCTTTACCTTCTATGTATTTTATCTGTTATACCACATCTTGAAATGCATAGTCATTTTCCTATGATCAGAGAGAAGCAGGTATCTCTCACACAATCATTTGGTTCTTATTGCCAAAGGGATTGATGTGTCGTGTTGCCTTGAAGCCTGTGCTGACCCAGAAATTACCCCATTTTCAAATTACAAAGGAATTAATCAAGTCAAGGTTTGGGGTCATGTGAGGGTTATGGCCATGTTTCCTCAGTTGTCAAAATTCAGAAAACTTTTCAAAATAGGAAACAAAAACAGCCACATGAAATTTCCTCCCTTAAATTGTTACAGTCTTAGCCATTACATGTGACTCTCTTCATTGCCTGGTGTACAAGTAAGGAGGGAGCTTTCCTTGTTCTCTAGGGATTTATACATTCTCAGGTGACAACTGTATCCTAGAAGGTAAAATTTAGTCAGAGGGCCATTTGGCAGCAGTCTGGGGAGCAGGCCAGCAGGAAGATAAACAGATGCTAATATGGGCCTGTGGGAAGCAAGGAAATTGTACTTTGCAATTGGCAACCTTTTAATGCAACATTGGGAGAATTTAAAGCTCCCTGATGGAATTAAAAGTTTGGCATGATAGGGGAAGTTAAAAAAAAAAAGAATTTGAATTTTTAAAAATCTGAATAAAGATATGTTAGATTCCTTTGGTTGAAAAAAAATCAAACTGGCATAAGCATAGAAAGATATTTATTGGCTTGTGTGTCTGAAGATTCTAGTGGGTGAAAGTACAGTTGGATCCAGAGGCTTAAAGCACATCAGGTGTCTTCCCTTTCTCCTTCCCACTCTTGGCTTGACTGCTCCTGTTTTGGCACCATTTTTGGGTGGGCTTTCTCTGTATGGCAGGCACTGGGAGCTCCAGGTTAATAACTTCAATGGTGGGAGAAAAAAAGGCTTATCTTCCCCAGTAGTTCCAGTGTGTGTTCCAGGACTGAGTCTCATTGCCTGTTCCTGACCCAATCATTGTGGAGAAATGGGCTGGACTATCCAGTCAGCCTGGATTATGAGTTTATGTGTGGAAAGAGAGAAAGTGGGTCTTTAGCTCTGCTCAAACCACATAAACTGAGAGAGTAGGGCAGGGATAGTTCTGAAGGAACACCAGGTGTTGTTACTAGAAGAGAGACTAGATGCTGTGTGAAACCAAAATATCTGTCTGCTACAGAGGGGAAATTAAGACTCATTTGGTTGTAAAGTATATAGCAGGATATGTTGATAGAAGTAAGTAACTGTTCTGTGCTAAAGATTAATGAGAGAGAATAGGCATAAATGACAGTAGAAGGGACTTTAGTAATAGATGGTTTGCAGAAAAGCTAGTTACAGATCAAAATTTTATAAAGCAAATCTCATTTTCCCACTGATTTCCATTATGAAGTCAATACTATACAGTATTCCTAAAAAGAAACATCAGATTTCTGAATTAGGAACTCCTGATGAGTAAGTAGTTATGATTGCTACAAATCTAGAATATATACTAGGCCTTCTAATGTATCAGCAATACAGTGTCTGCCAGAATTGCAGTTACTACCAAATTCACTTTTGCTATGGGCTTCTTCAGAATTTGGAAGCTGTTCTCTTTCCCTCCCTTAGGAAACAATTCATTTATCCTTTTCTTAGCCACTGAAATTTTTCTTATGCTAGGATATCTCTAACTCACTTTATACTTCCAAGAACTTCTTCACTGTTTTGCATAGAGCTAAATACATATGCATTGTCACATTTTGCCAGCAGGGAAACTGATTCAGATTCTGCCACAGCCTGAAACTCCTTTAAGAGTAGAGCTTCTGCTTGTATAAAATTGGAGACCACATACAGGAAAATGTGGCTTAGGACCACATGCAGAGACTTCCTAAACTTTTTGGAAGCAATGAAAACATAGGGGTGGGGAGGGCAGAAAAAGGATGCGCAGCTCCCAGCTGGTGCACTATCTTTGTGCATATCTGATTTACAGGAGACTGGAGTAATATCCCATCCCATAGCAAACAGTGTGTAAACTTGGCTTGCAAGATCATCATGTTTAAACTGGAGAATGGTAAAGTCAGATGAAAAAAATTATATATTTCTCAGGCATTTATATTATTCTTTCCCCATCTTTCTTAATTCCTGAAATTTGTATCAAGACTGTATCTTTGAGCCCTTTTATTCATTCATTCATTCAACAAATAGTTATTGGGCAACCTGCTATGTGCTGGCCCTCTTGTGGGCATTGAGCCTATAGTGGGGAACAAAACCAAATCCTTGACTTTTAGTCACATTCTGAGGAGAGCCATTAATGAATAAGCAAGTGTATAACATGTCAGATAATACTAAATACTAAGAAGAAAGGCAAAGCTGGGTGAGAAGGGCAAAGAGTTGGAAGGGGAAGGAGGCTGTCATTTTATATATGATAAATGTTGTATTTGAACAGAGAGATGATGGGGTTTTGGGAGCAAGCCGAGGGGCTACCTGGAGGAGGAGCAGCTTAGAGAGAGGGGGAAGTAAGGCAAAGACCCTGGGCCCAGAGTAGCTTGGTCTTCTACTTTAAGCCTGCCTGGTTGTGACCAGATAGTTTCAGCTGCAGTGAGGATATAATAGGGTAGAAGCAGGGAGACCAATTAGTAGATTATTGAAAAAAAAAAACAACAACAGAAATCACAGTGGTTGTGGTGGAGGTGGTGAGAAGCATCCTCATCCCAGGTGTATTTGGAAACCCATTTTCCCTTTTGCTTGTTTTTCTTTTCTTTTTCCTCGCTATTCTTTGGAAGTATATAACCTTCCCTGCCTAGTAATGGAATTTGTATGTATACAGTTTTGAGACCAGGAGCTTTATTTCTGGTTCTACCTTAGGTTATATCTCTCCTTTCTCCATCCTTGTAAAGTTTGCTTAGTATGGGGCTGGGCTCAGGTAATACCACTGTTGCAGATTACACATCTAGGAGGCACTGGCATGATGAGAGAAGGGGTCAGCCAGTACACTTGTCCCACCCTATCCACTGTTTCACCGTTTGCATTGTCAGTTTTCCATAGTCAACTACTACCCGGAAACAGATGATCCTCCTTCTGGGATATTGTCAGAAGGTCAGAGGCAGCCTAGCGCTACATCACAGTGCCTACATCATTCACCTTACTTCATCTCATCACCTTTTACCATGTCACATTTTCACAAAAAGGATGAGAACAGTACAATATGATTTGAAAGAGACCACATTCACACAACTTTTATGACAGTACATTGTTATAATCATTCTATTTTATTATTAGTTACTGTTGTTTAAATCTTTTATTGTGCCTAGTTTATTAAACTGTATCATAAATACATATAGGAAAATACATAGTATATATAGGGATATAAGGATTGGTACTGTCTGTGGTTTCAGGCATCCACTGGGGTCTTGGAACATGTCTGCCATGAATAAGGGGGACTCAGGAACAGGATCTTTCCCACTTATGATCAGGGAACTCAGCCATAAGCATAGGTCTACTACTGATCGTGCCCAGAATGCTCTGAAGATGTTTCCTTGTGGAAATTGCTCTCGTCATTGACAGTTTTACAGAGTAAACTCATACTTGAATGGAGACTTGCCCCAAAGACAGGAAGCGCCCCTGTGTTTCAGGCCGATAAGTTGGCAGGGACAGTACTAGTCACAGGACTGTAGAGTCTGAGACTCAGAAGGCTCCTTAGAGGACATTTAATCCCATCTTCTCCCGCTACTATATGAATCACTGCCATGATATATAATCATCTAGCCTCTACCTCAAGGGTCTAGAATCCATAGATCACAAAATGTTAGTACTGGAACTTATCTTAGAGATAATGTAAGGCTAGAAGAATCCGGGAGTCAGAAATTCCAGACCCACAGTCTTTGCACTCACTATTTTGTCACTCCAAACAAGGGCTATTTTGTAGCCCCTGCCGGTAGAATTACGTCTCTGTCTCCTTCCCATCACGGGCTGTCTAGGTTTGTTTGCCTTTCAGTCCTAAACAGTAAGGGATCATTTCTTTTCATTTTCAACTCCAGGGGTTGCCCTGCTGTCAGATGCATACCCTGAGAAAATCTTGCCTGGCCTGCTGGCTCAATATGACAGTGGTAAAGACAAGCACACACCGGAGACCAGAATGAAAGTTGGGGAAGTCCTGATGCGAACTATCAAGGCATTAGGTGAGTTTCTTATAACATTATCTGGGTCAGGGAGCCCTATGGCTCTGAAACCAATTCTGCCTACATGGAGGCTTATTATGCTAGCAGGTGAGAATGGTTTAGAGGCTGAGGTGAACTACCTCCTGTTCAAGGATTTAGCAAATACCCTGACACCTGCTAAGAGATTGGCAGCAGCAGTGCCCATTTTCCTACTGCTGCTTAGTCTCCTCCCCTGAACTATGTTAGGGCCCTGATCTTCATTGGAGCTGGAATGGAAACTTCCACACTTGCTGAGCAGCAGCAGGCATAAAGAGAAGAGGATTGACAGACAGAGAGGGAAGGTGCTAACTTGTCAAATGGCTACTGTGTGCCAGGTCATCTACATATATAATCTCATTTGATTTTGCCAACAAATCCTAAAGAGAGGCTGTCAGATCCATTGTATAGTTGAGGAAACCAGAGCAGCGACCTTTAATGGTTTATCCAAGACTCATTCAGCTAGTAAACAGCAGTACTAATAATTGAACCCACCAACTGGAAAGGAATTGCTCAAAACCACACAAGCTGAGAGTAGTAAGAGTGAGCATGGGCTCAGAAGTCGCACTGCCTGGGTTCAGATCCTGAACTGCTGCTTATTGGCAGTGTGATATGGGTATGTTTCTTAACCTCTCTCATTGTCTTCATATATAAAATAAGAATATTAATAGCACCTACCTCACAGGCTGTTGTAAGGACTGAATAAGGTAATACTTAAAATAGTGTTTGGCACACAGTATGAGCTCAATAAATTTTTATTTTTGCTGAGTAAAGAAGAAAGGTCGCTTTTTTAAAGAAGAGAAATGCTCTATTATTTATTACTTACTTAGTGTGCATGTGGGGCAGGAGGTGGGACACTGGGAAGCAAGGACAAAGGAACCATTGTTGACTCTAAAGCCAGGCATGAATTAAGATGAACTAATGAGTTCTCCTTAAGTCCTCAAGTATGCTTTCGATATTTTTATATTGGGCTGTGTAATGTAGAATTGAGAGGAGTTTCTTTCACCTGCCTTCCATAAACTTAACCATTGTCTACTGCATTGAATATAAGTAGCTTGAAGCCTTAAAATAAGGCAAGACAGTCATATAGGTGTGGGCCACTGGTGTACAGTATCTAGTCAACCAACCAGCTGCCGTGTTCAACTTTGAGAATTAAGTTATGTTGGGGCTGTGTGCTCCTCATGCATGTCTGTATCAGATTATGTCATGAGATATAGCCTCAGTGGTTTATGTTTTGGCTGAAAAACAATGCCACATTGAACTGGACTTCTTTCTGTCTTTAAGGTAGAACAGCATCTTCTCAGGTGCTGATTTATTTGTCCTTCGCTTTTTAGTAATTCTATCATGTGTCCACTAGCAGAAGAAGTGATCCCATCTTCAGTTTGGCTTGTCTGTTGGGGATAGTAAAACTTGTAAATTTCCTCTTTACCCAGTAGGGAAAGATATGGGAAAACAAAGTAGCTTTTCACCTCATGCATCAAGAAATGACACTGCATTCTTCCTTTACCAGCACTCAAGGCTTTACAAAGATTCTACATAGCCATGCATTATTTCTGCAGACATAGTCTTTAATTTTCTTAATTTCTGGGTGGCCTTTCTGGCTAACAAAGATAGGATCTAGATCTCCAACCACTTAAATCCTTCTGTCAATGAAAGGAGGATCTCATGAGTGTGAAATTTTAAAAAGTTTTTTTCTACTCTTTGGAGAAAAACCAACTTTCTATATTTGCCATAGTCCTAAATTGTGTCTGAAACATACCAGACAAGTGTACCTTTATAAGAAACCATTCTCTCACAGTAGGTGTGAATATTAAAAAATACCACAAGGTCGAGTGCAACCCCTGACTTCTATTTGTGTGTATCACTGGGATTGTCAGAGCTGAGAAGGAATGTATGCTATAATAGACAGCATACATACCATGTATTTTCTCTGTAACCTCTTGTAGACCTCTACCACTGGGATGATGAATACTGAAGACACCCATTTCTCAGTCTCCACTGGCCAGTCCTATCATATCCTGGGGTTACAGTAGAGGTGGGGTTGAAGGACTAGGTTGAGTGGGAGAGAGACCTTATTCCTTTTTACATATTCCTCTAATTAGACCAATTTCCAAAACAGTCTTCTAGCATTTCAGAGTAAATTTCCTCAGCTTTAACTGCTACTATATCATTCATATTACGAACTTGTCCAAGAGCATAGATGAGGTGGCTTGTTGAAATCCTTTAAATGAAATTAAAACCCAGTTTTACATCATAGCCAATACCCTTAGTGTGCTAGTGGTGTGGAAATCCCTGTGAACAGCCACCTAGTAAAGCTTCCCTAATAAGTATCCTAGTTTTATTGGCCCACGCTTTGCACGTTTCTCACCCCCAACTCTTGTTTGCAGCCGGGGGAGTTCCATGGGAGAGGAAGGCCCACAGACAGGAGCCAGGTGCAGTACACTAGTGCTTGCTCTCAGCATCATTTTTAGTTACTTAACCACCACACCAACTTCTCTTCCTGCCACTAGACAGAGGGTGAAAAATCAGCAGGAGCTTTTTTTTACATTAAAAAAAAATTGAGGTATTACATACATAAAGTATATAAAGTACACTCATTTTAATAGTATAGTTTTATTGTTCCTTGCATATTTACCACCACAAAGGAACTTCTAGTAATTCATAAAGTTTCCTTTTGTCCCTTCCTAGTCTATACTTGCTCCAGGGGTAAGCACTATTCTGACTTTTTATCACCATAGATTTATTTTGATTATTCTTGACCTTCATTTTAATGTAATTAAATCCCCATATTTCTAGCAAGCTGATAGATATGGACACTTGGTTAAATTCTAGTAAAATTTTGGGAGACCAGAATACTTCATAGGCTGTGGTCTGTACAGTATTTCCCATTGTCTCATATTAGGAGGCACTTAATGTCTGGTTATCTCATTTTAGTGATGTTGAGATTGATCGGTCATGATTCCAGTAGGATATATCCTGAATATGAATCTCCTTGTCAACCTTCCTCTTAATGGTTTTAAGTAACCACTGATTGTTGCTTAGATCCATTATTTCATAGGGGTTACATTTTTTATACATTAGGGAACTGAGATGCAGTTACTAACTTGGCTAATGCCACACAGCTAATTACTGGTGGATCCAGAATTTGACAGTCTAACTCCAGACCCAATCCCTTACCCAATATACTGGATTGCATCCTGTATGTTTTCCCATGTCATCAAGCATCTTTTAACTCTAATTAACATGGACAATCTCCATATGCTCTCTAATTTTTAGTGATTGCATGATAGTATATCATTTAATGTACCATAGTTTTTCCAACCAATAAGCTTGCAGAATGTTCCAGCTTTTCGCTATTAATGAATTACATTGAGATGAACATTCTTGTAGCTAAATCTTTGTGCAGATCCATGATAATTAGGAAAATTTTCTAACAGAATTTTTTAAAAGCATGGGCTTTTTTTTTTATTGAAGTATCGTTGATATATAATGGTATATTGATTTCAAATATACAACAGTGGTTCAGCAGCTACCCATATTATTAAATCCTCAACCCCTCTAGTGCAGTTACTATCAACATAGAAAGATGCTACAGAATCATTGACTATACCGTCCATGCTGTACTACCGTCCCTGTGACCAGCTTATATTATGATAGAGAATTTTTGTTTCCCTTTATCCCCCTCACCATCCCCACCCACCCACTCCAGCCCCGCTCCCATGGTAACCACTAGTCACTTCTTGGTGTCTGTAAGTCTACTGCTGTTCTGTTCCTTCTGTTTTAAAAGAAAAAAAAATTGCTTTGTTTTAATGTTCCACAAATAAGTGAAATCATATGGTATTTGTCTTTCTCCACTTGGCATATTTCACTTAGCATAATACCCTCTAGATCTACCCATGTTGTTGTAAATGGCAGGATTTTTCTTTTTTATGGCTGAATAATATTCCATTATGTATATGTACCACAACTGCTCTATCTATTCATCTATTGATGGACACTTATGTTGCTTCTATATCTTGGCTATTGTAAATAATGCAGTAATAAACATAAGGGTGTAAACGTACATATTTTAAAGATGTTTATTGCTAAATTGTCCTCCAAGGAAACTGTGCCAATTTGTATCTCAGTGTTTGAGGATATTTATACCCTCATTAGCACTATATTTGCTATGTATTAACATTTTTATCAAGCAGATATATAAATTCTATCTTGTTTTTATCTCTACTTACTCAATTGATAAAAGGTTAAATATTTTTCATATATTTATTGGCCAGATTTGTGTGTGTGGAGGGTGTTTGTGTGTGTATGTATGTGTGTGTGAATTGCCTTTTCCTGTCCTTTCTCCATTTTTCCTTTGGAGTATTGATTTTGTTACTTGATATATAAAAGCTATATATTTAAAGATCTTGAACTACTGACATTTATGTTGCAGATACTTTCTTTGGGCTGTTGTTTATATTTTAGTTTTGCTCATATTTTCTGTGTATTTTGTTTTTGAAGCATAGAAGTGTTTTATTTTGATGTAGACAACTTTTCCCTTATGTTTTCCCTCATTTAAAAAATCTTCTCAAACAAGGTTACTTAAGTATTAATCTGTATATTTTATTTTATTTTTTTATTGAAGTATAGTCGATATACAATATTATTTTGCTTTCAAGTATACAACACAGTGATTCAACTGTTATTAAATTAAATTATTAAATCCTCATCCCAAGTAGTGCAGTTACTACCTGTCAACATAGAAAGATGTTATAGAACCGTTGACTATATTCTCCTTGCTGCACTACCATCCCCATGACCAACATATATCATGATTGAGATTTTTGTGCCCATTTATTCCCCTCACTTTCCCCACCCACCCACCCCAACCCCTCCCCCAAGGTAACTACCAGTCACTTCTTAGTAGCTGTGAGTCTACTGCTGTTTTGTTCATTTTGTTTTTGTATTCCAGAAATAAGTGAAATCATATGCTTTTTGTGTTTCTC